TTGTTAACAAATCTTAATTTTCCGTTTTAAAAATATTGCAAAAATAAAATGTATATTTCTGAAACGATTTTTGAGGAAAATTAGCAAATACCGTTAATCTGATTTGAAATAAATATTACTTACTTGTTGCATAAAATGTTGTATCTTTATTGACAATCGAATGACCGCTGAACATGTTCATAGTTAAGTATGGATGGTGGAGCAGACGACAAAATTTTCGTTAAGTTTTTTTTCCCCCCGTAAGTTGAAGGACGACCCTTAAAACACGTGACCTTTTAAGAATCGGTTTCTACATCCATACTTCAGAAATTTTGCATCTATATACTGTACATATATAAAAACAAATCGAAATTCTTTTAAAAATAGTCGGGGTCTTCAGATTGTAAGCTTTATGACTAGAAATATTCCTAAGAATTGAATTATCTCATTGAAATTGAACTTTAAAAAATTTTTTAAAAAAATTAAATTATTCAATTTTAAATTGTAAAAAATGAAAACATCTTGTAAAAATTCATTTTTCAGCGAAATTTTTTTCTGCAGACAATATTGTGTTTCTTTATCATTCATAAAAAAAAACTTTAAAAAAAGCAATTAAAATTAAAAGCCTCTCTAATTAATGTCTTAGTTTTATTGCGGTTTTTATTTTTCGATTCAGAACAGATTTTCGGTAAGACTAGGTCCGATTTTGCAAAAAAATCAAAAAAAAAAAATCGATGATTTAAATTTTAAATTCTTCAGAAACTTCTGCTTTTAAACACTTAGTCACTAAAAAAAATCATCTCGACGGATTTTTCAAGCATTCATAAAATTAAGGGGAGAGAAACACATGTAAAATAAAAATATTCTTACCAAGATTTTCTAATAAAAAAAATTTCAAAAATAATTTGTGAATAAGTCCTGCAAATTTCATTAAAATCCGACAATTAATTGATTTTTGCAAGAATTTTCAAATTAATGTGTCTGTCGCCGCAAAAAGGAGGCAAAAATTTGCTAAAAAAGTCAGTACAACTGCTGATGCAAGCAGCAAGAAAAACAAATTTTTCTTATAAAATTTTCGAATGAAAAAGGAGTAAAAAAATTTAATTAAATAATAAAAAATACTGCAGCAACAGTTAATTTTATTGAAAAAGTCTTAAAATTTGGAAAAATTGTTTGTGTCAAAGACATATATGGTGACACTATGGGGCGTGTTCTTTAACGCATATATCTTTTGTATTATTAATGATTCAAGAAAAAAAACGAAACTCCAAATGTGAATCAACAAGTATATATTGAAATAACATACGAGAATAAAATATACAATAACTTGTATTCAATATATAGATTAAGGGAAAAGAAGTTGCTTCCCTTTTAATGTATTCTGATTTGTAATTGATTGTTCGAAAGAAAGTTCTCTTTAAAGAGAAATGTTCAGGAATCAATGTTAGAACAAGTCTGCTGTTAGAATAGATAACACAAAAATACAATTGATCAGAAAGTGTGTTGTGTTAGAGAAATCAACAAAGTCCTGGTTGATTGAACTTGGCTGAGTCACAGAGAGATATGTATATATGTATTACAAAATTCTGTGTGTGCATTTGAAATGTTGTGAGTAAAGTCATAGGTTTGTGTTGACAGGCGAAATTTGTTGGACTCTACTGGCGGCTTGTGACAAAGTCACTTCTTTTAAAGCTATAGGTAGGCTCCCAGCGAAACTGCGGGAAAAGTTGATTTTACACTAAAATATGTGATTGGTTAAAATTTGACCAATCGCTAAATTTGTATTAACGAAACAAGTAAGCAAGTTCAAAACCGAAAAATTCAAAGCAACGACTGCGATGGCTAAATTGTCCTATAGAAAGGCAGTATTGATTTATTAGCCAATCACAGACAAATAAAATGTGGGCGTGGAAAAACATAGCAGTCGCTACAACACTAAGGAAAATGATCCACTGAAAAAAGTGATATCAGATTTAGATGATGAATATCTGTTATTTCTTTCTAATTTTGAGAAAATGACAAAAAGAATTGAACATACATGCAATGGCTTAAATGATGTTTGCAGATATTTGCTAAGTACTGGGTTTAATTTCATTATGTTTAGTGAATTTACCACAGACTATTTAGAAAATCAATTTTGAAAATTAAGATAAAGTTCTGAAGGTGCATATATTATAACAGTTCAAAATGTTATTAAAAATCTAAATATTGAAAAACTAAAACTACTTCTTAAATTAAATGTTAAAGTTCAAAGAAGACAACTTTGATCCAGGCCATAATTACTTAAAATATGGACATTTGTTGGATGAAATGGGATGCCAAACATTTGATAATTTACCAAACTTTAAAACTAGAATTCCTAAAGATATTAATATATCACTTTTGTATATAGCAGACTATATTACAAGAAATTTCCCCACAGAAGAGGAACTATTTAATAATATTAGTTTGTATTTTAAAGAATATGAAAATTTTTGAAAGAAATAGATTGTGGTAATTTAAAAATTCCACTGGATACCACAGGGATACCAGATATTTTTTATTTTCCCTCTTTTTACATATATGCAATTGGTTAACTCCCCAAATTATCTTGTTAATTAATTTTGTGTTCTTGTTAATGTAAATTGATTTTAATTCTTGAAACTATGTGTATTGGTAATATCTATTATTGTATCATAGCAAAATAAATATTTTCATCATTTTCTGTGAAACAAATTGTACATGTAACAAAAATCACAAATTTTGTAAAGATTATCAAAATTATTATTTCTCTGAAATCCACATCTTTTGTAAAGTATTTTCAGACTTTGTTGATACATGATTTTGTTAATTGTTGAAATTGCTTTTTGATTATATTATACAATTATATTTTTTGTAATAAATTAGCATAAACAAATTAATTCATTATTTTTGCAATATTATCTAAAAATGTCTAATCTATGGTAAATAAAATGATTTTAGTTGTTTTATGGTAATTTTGTTCTTTCTTTGTAATTGCATTTATGGAAATAAGTCAGTAATTGTAAAATGCTTTCTAATATTATATATAGCTGTTAATTAACTAATTGCTGGACATTACTAATGTTATAAAATAAAATAAGACATATCTTGGCTGATTCACAGGCAAATACTCAAGAGCGAAAGCCGGATGTGAACGGGACAAAACCCCATCACAAAATGGCCATTATCTTCATTTACAAATGTTCCCGACACACATGTTCCGGTCGAAAAATAAAATAATATTTAAAGTGTTCTATTTTTTGTCCAATAAAAATGCTTCCCTCCTAATTATACTCGCTTCATTTTTCGAGCCTGTTGAGCCATAAAAAAACGCTATAAAAGGGGTCACACGGAAGTTCAACAGGCAGTCAACAGGTGGCCAGGCCGAGCAGTCAGCAGCTGACAGCAGGAGAGCATCAACTACCGTCAACATGTGTGAACTACTATGAGAGATCGACCTAGATCCGAAGCCGGCTTATGAACTTTACCACAAGGTAGCTGTCCCAAACCCACACGTTCCTGTTGAAATAAACCACGTAAATCTATTTCTGCTGTTGTCGTATTTCTTTCTTGCAACCATACGCTTGTCTATAACACTAACAAGTTTCTTGCTAAAAATGTTCGTTTATTTAGTAGTAATTTAGGCCTCCACATGTCTGCCCCTTGTTGTGGATCTCAGTCGCATGGTTGCCAGGCCTGGTAAATGATGTAGACACAAATAAAATCCCTGCAAAATATTTTTATTATTAATAAGAGAATTCATTTTTCTTAGTAGCAACCACCAGCAGACATAGGGGTTTAGAAGTTAAACAAAAATTGGCTACAACTTTTCTAAAACCAAACGTGACTGATCATGCCTGAAGAGACGGAATGATTAAAGAAGAGAAGTGACTGTTATAGAATGAAATAAAAATACTAAACAACATCAGAAACATACAGATATTTGTAAGCAATTTAATTTATCAATAAAGTGTAGATATTAGCACAAAATATGGAAGACAGTAATTTAAAAAGAACAGATGATAAATTTTAAATTTCAAAAATCAAAATGTCATTTGAAAAAGAGAAGTGAAAAAGTACAAATGCAGGTAAAATTCATTCATTTATAGTAAGGTCATGAGTTCAAAATGTAGATATGTAAATGGGGGCAGGGACAGGGAGATTCATGCCTTTTTAAGGTCATTAATTGATCCATTTTATTGGAAGGTCATGATTTTAACATGTAGATATGTAAATGGGAACAAGGAGAGGAGGATTCATGCCTTTCTAAGGGCATTCATACTATTCATTGGAGGAAAGTTATGATTTCAACATGTAGATATGTAAATGAAGGACAGGGACAAGGAGATTCATGCCTTTCAAAGAGTATCCATCCATTTCATTGGAAAGTTATGATTTAACATGTAGATATGTAAATGAAGAACAGGGAGAAAGGGATTCATGCCTTTCTAAGGGCATTCATCCATTTTATTGGAAGGCCATGAATTCAACATGTCGATATATAAATTAATTTTATTTATACTTTTTATCACTGTGCAATGACAATGACATTTGTCAGCAGACCCCATGTGCACCAATATACACACACAAACAGAAAACTATCAAATAAAAAATTTATAATGTTCAAAAAATATGTTTAAAATTGTTAGTGTACTGTTGTGTTCAATAGGAACAGGGAGAAAAGGATTCATGCCTATACTAAAGACATTAGTATTAAATAAATATAAACATTTTTAGTGGAAATTCAAGTTTGGTTTCCCAATTCTGTTTTTCATGTTGATTGTTAAATTGCCCTGTATTTCTGGGGCTGACATTTTGGTTTATATGAATATGGGAGGAAAAGAATATAAATTCTATAAGTATGTAAGTTTAAGGTAAAACCATAGATTGGCCACAGCAAACTCATGGCAGGAAAAGCATAACCTTTACATAAAGAGTGACAACAAACATTAGCACCATACAGCAGCTCACTACCATTTGAGCCACCAAGAAGGTTCTTATATTCAAAGATAGGAAGAGACTAAAATAGATATGAATAGAGATGAATAGATAGATATGAACACATCGATAGATAGATAGATAGATAGATATGAAGACAGAGATAGATAGATAGATAGATAGATAGATAGATAGATAGATAGATATGAAGACAGAGATAGATAGATAGATAGATAGATAGATAGATATGAAGACAGAGATAGATAGATAGATAGATAGATAGATAGATAGATAGATATGAAGACAGAGATAGATAGATAGGTAGATAGATAGATAGATAGATATGAAGACAGAGATAGATAGGTAGATAGATAGATATGAACAGATAGATAAATATGAACAGACTAATAGATAGATAAATAGATAGATATGAACAGACTGATATAGATAGATAAATAAATAGATATGAATAGACTGAGATAGATAAATAGACACGAACAGACTGATAGATAAATAGATATAAAAAGATTGATATGAACAGACTGATAGATAAATAGATATAACAGTCTTATGTAGATAGATAGATAGATAGATAGATATGAAGAGACTGATAGATAAATAGATAATGAACAGATTATGATAGAGATAGATTGATTGATTAAAATCCTTGTGGATAATTTAATGCCAAAATGTAATCTTTGGGGGAGCTTTGAAATAATAAAAATACAATATATGTTATTCTGCTTTCACAGTTGAATACATGGTAGATAATATATGTCGATATTTCTGAGATGAGGTATTGTAATTATTTACACTATTTACATTGTTTGGACTGTTGTCCTTATCTTTGCTGCCATATTCATGACGTTTTGGCTGTTGTATGCTCCAGATTCCTTCAGGTGAATGAAATTTCAAACTGAACCCTTTATTTCATCCACCAGGGTAGATTGTTCTAGTTCCATGTGCCATGTTTCTTCCAGATGTCTATAAAGGAAAACTGTAAAGCCAAAACACAAGTGGAAATAGAAAAATCAGGTGTAGTTGATCACATATGGAAGGAAAAGCGAGATCACCACCCTCTGTGGGATGAGATTGAAATCATACTTATTATAAAACCCAGATTGTGTGTGTGTCTGTACGTTTATATAATGGATCGGATTTCCTACATTTTTCAACTGATTTCAACAAAACTTCACAGGACTACGTAAAATTACCTTGCAGTGGTTCTGACAGTGCAAAAAATTGGAAAAACACAATTGTTTTTGCACAAAATCAATTTGAAAACATGATTAAGAGACATCGCGAAAATGAAAGGGGGACAACTCATATTGAGTTATACTTATTATTAAAATATTAATATACTTATTATAAAACCCAGGTTGTGTGTGTGTCTGTACGTTTATATAATGGATCGGATTTCCTACATTTTTCAACCGATTTCAACAAAACTTCACTTTTTTTTGGCAGTTAGTGTTTCTTATTGTCTTGCACACTTTTTTCTTTATTTTTACATTCAGAATGCTTTAAAAATTCCATTTACAAGACAATTGTTTATAATACAATTCTATTCAATCGGTAGACTCATAACGATTGAAAACAACGTTTTTGTTTGAGTTTGGGTTTGACCTATTCGTAAAAAAACAAAAACAAAACAAAACAAAAAAAAAACTAATTAAGACATGCGTGTCCGTCAACCTTAAACAATAATCTTTGTCAATTTTATTTTTCAGTGTTTATGATGGTCGATACTTGATCTATCTCTTACTGTTACATCCCCGGTCAACGCCAGGCTCTACTGCTAGTAATAGATAAAGAACATCATTGGAAAATACGAAAACTTAAGGAATAAGCACATATGCTAGGTCACAAAAATCTCCTAAGATGGCCAAGCATAGATATGAATACAATATGGGAACCGGTAATATGGAGTGCTAGAGAAAAACAAAAATTTCATGGTCAGAAAGCAAATGTCCTAATAACTCGGCCACACACCTATATATCAATTGACATAGATAGTTAGATAGATGCACAAAGATATTTTCAGAGATAAAACACATATTCATTCAGCTCAAATTAATCTTTGTTAAATTTTGTTTTTTGGTATTCATTGAAATGTCTTTTTTTTACACAAGGTTGAAACTCCGAAAAGCACAGAAACCCGTGAAATAGTGAATAGCATTCTTCAGACGTGTGGGACTCTCTTTATGAATGAATATGTTGTATGGCTCAGTTGTTCTATTGATTGATATTGATTGATATTGAGACATGAATAGAAATATACCAACTGATTGTTACATGATGAAACAAATATGGATAAACTGTAATAAAAAATATGAAAAGGCTAAGATCAACGTTTGATATGAACAGATAAGAAGAGATTGATTAATTAATCAATAAACAGATTAAGATGGGTAATAAAATTAATTCGTAAGATAAACATTTTTATTATATACATTATTTAAATTTGAACTATTGTCCTAATCTTTGTTTTTATTATCACATTATTCTTCAGGTGCTTGTTAATCCACATGTTGGGATTCAGAAAGTGCTTCTCTGCCTTTCATGGAGATAAGTCACATGACGGCCACTTAGTGATGTTACTCCTTACAGTGATAAATGTAGCAGTCAAATTCAGTTTGTTTACAGCAACCACCATGTGAGCTTGCTTTCTTTTAGCCTTGGCCCAGGCTGAGGCTAAATCTGCCTCTCCTAGCCGCTTACAAATCCATGGTGTCATTTCCCTTTGGGAATATATCTTTCCCAGATACAGAATGAAACTTCAGCTCAGAGTCCTCAATTTGCGAAAACCCAAAACTTGCTGTTTTCTATTCATGAAATATGTCCTCACCTGGGACATAAATGAATCTGAACTGTTTGAATCTGGACTTTCTCCTTTTCTAAATTTAGCTTCTCCAGACACATGAGTATTTCTATATATGTAAGACCCTTCCTTTTTGTTTCTAAAAAAACAAGAAAAAGTCAAAGGTGACTATAAATGTAATACTAGAAAGCTAAGAGTTTGAATCTGACACTCATGAAGTAAGTACTCGACCATTTTAAACATTTTTATCTTTTCTTACCCTAACTTACTTCTGGGCCAGAAAAAGAAAATAGACATACCCAATAGACATTGAGGACTTTGTTTCCCTAGAGTTTATATACAGTTGGAGGAAACAAATATTCGTACACATACAAATTTTTAATTTATTGTATTTCCAACTAATGAATAAATATACTTTTCATTTAATTAACACAGATGCATAATAACTAAATATGCATAGAAAACAGAAAAAATTGATTTATCCATTTTAATAGGTGAAAAAAGTATTCATACAATGCATAATCTTCATTTAATACTTTGTAGAATAGCCGTTATTCACTTTTACAGCAATCAACCTCTTCTGATAGTTCTCAATTAATGATTTACAAATTTTACTTGGTATTTTGTTCCATTCTTCTTTGCATATGGTCTTCGTGATGTTTGTTGGAGCTCTCAATCAGATTTGAATTTTCAAATAACGCCACGGATTCTCGATTGGGTTTTAAATCTGGAGACTGACTTGGCCATTTTAAGATATTTACATTATTTTCAGCAAGTCATTTCTTCATAGATTTTGCAGTGTGCTTAGATCATTATCTTGGAAGATCCAGTCAGGAGGAAGTTCAAGATTTTCAATCAAAATCATTAAATTTGCTTCCAAAATATTTTGATATGCTGCAGTATTACTTCTACTATCTATTACTGATATGTTGCCAGTACCTTTTGTAGAAAAAACATCTCTGAAACATGATGCTACCACCACTAAATTTTACTATTGGAACTGTGTTCTTTTGTTTGAAGTCATCGCCATCTTTCCTCCATACATGATTTCTAGAATTACGTCCAAACAACTCAATTTTGGTTTTGTCTGTCTCTAATACTCTTTTCAAATACAATTTTTCCTTATTGTTATGTTCATGAATGAATTTCAACCTGGCATCTCTGTGTCTTTTCAATAGCAGTGGTGTTTTCCAAGGGGAGCACGACTTTAGATTTTTCCATTGAATTTTATTGCTTATTGTCCATTTAGTGAGATAGCTTCCTGATGAAAGCAAATCATCCTGCAAATCTTGACAAGTAACCATTGGATTTTGTTTAATTTGACACATTAATTTCCTCAAAGGTCTTGAAGAAATCTTCCATGGAGCACCTGTTCTTCTTTGGTTTTCAACAGTTTTGAGTTTTTATACCTTGCAATGAATGAATTAATGTTAGTAAATGGAATATTCAGGTTGTCTGAGATTTTCCTGTAACTTTTACCTTCTTTCCAAAGTTTAACAATCAGTTCTCTTTGCAAATTTGTCAATTCTTTACCTCTTGCCACGATGGTAACCTTCTTGCACGAATATCAATTACAGAATGTTCGGTTATTAATTTTTAGGCTAAAAATAACTACTGATAACATTATTGGAACATTCTAGAATATTCCACTTGAATAATCTTGTGTATTAAAGAAATTTAAAAGTTTTAAAATCTGAAATTTGCATTGTACGAATACTTTTTTTCACCCATTAGAATGGATAAATGAAATTTATTTCTATTAAATCAATATTTTTACTGTTTTCTATGCATATTTAGTTATTATTCATCTATGTACAGTTAATTATATAAAAAGTATATTTATTCATTAATTAGAAATACAATTAAAAATTGTTATGTGTACAAATATTTGTCCCCACCCCACCCCCGCCCCACTGTATATATAAAAAAAAGATTAAACAGTCTGTAGTAGAAACATAAGTTATTGTTGCTTCTACATAAATTGTTTACATATGAACAGTGCAATCTATGGTACCACTCCTCAAATCTATGCACTGGGATTCTGCCACCATTCCACTACATCTCAATTTTCAGAACATAGAATTCATGTAAAATACAAATTTTATTGAAACCTAATTATGTACAATAATGGATCATATGCAATATAGGTGAACAATTCAAGTAGAAATATTGAAAAATAAATACAATGTATCTAAATATAAATTAGAGACATGTCATAATATATCATTCCATATTAAATGAATTAACGTTTTATGGCAATTTGTAATATCAACTGGAATTTTTCTTGTTAAAAAGTTGAATAATTTTAACACATTCAACATTATGGACAAAAAATAGTAAATTTTATATATAGTGTTTTTTTTCCAAACTAGTATGAACAAAACAAATTCATGGGTTTGGACCAAAAAGAAGCCCCAGAATAATGACAAGATATTTCATCCTTTAATAGTCAGTTGTGATTAGTTTAATTTGTAATGTATATAAATGTAGGTAGAAAAAAAGCAAATGTCAATAAGATAGTAAGGGTCACAAAACAGTACCCAGGGCCCCCAATCTGGCCTAGCCTCCACCCAGTTGTTGGGGTAGTATGGCCCTATAAACATGCACATACCTACAATATGCCAACACATAAACTTTAAATTCTATAGTAATATCTACTGCTTATAAAGTAAATCAAATCACACACAAAGAAACGCAGAAGATGCAAACTCATCGCAACTTAAAGCATATATTCCAAAGAAAGAACTTCCTTTTAAACCTTATAATCACAGAAACCACTAGCAGATGTCTAATTTTAGAAAGCAATAAAAAAGAAAAAAAAATGGTTACAGTCACTGTACCAATCATCAAGGGTGTGGTGGAGAAAATCCAGCAAATATGTAATTGATATAATATCAGGACAGTATTCAAAAGTGATCTTGGTCTATGTGTGACGACATTCGTGGCGAAATTGTGACGAGTTTTATGATGACATTCTCCGATAGTTTGTCACTCACTACACATGTGATGACATCCAAGCTTGAGTGTATTTGCAAATACACTCATCTTGCTATGTGCACAGGTTTGTCTTCTCAGCCATGATCATTTTCAACAAAATTGTTTTTCAAAACTCTGGTTGGGAAGTAGCAACAATACGATTTCTCATAACATGGGATCCATCCTTCAGCTTCGAGAGGTGGGCTGCTATCTTTCTAACTTCGCCGGCCTCAGCGACTGATGCTCCATTACCAGACATTCTGTCACTGGCGGCTGAGCAGCTCCAAATCCTCTGCTCACCTACCTACTTCTCTCATGGTTAGAACCACTTTCCTCCTGACTTCCTGTCTCGCTCTGATTATATGAATAATTATTAAGATTCTAATAATATTAGTAACAAAGTAAAAATAAAGGGATCACTTGGATGCCATTGAAAAATTAGAGGGGGTTATAACTGATCTAGAAAGTCTATCTTTACAAAGTTTTCTAATGAAATAACCTTCAACATCTGTCTCTATTTCTGAGATGAGGTATTGTAACTATTTACACTACTTTGTTTGGACTGTTGTCCTCATCTTTATTGCCATATTCACATTCAACATCTGTCTCTATTTTTCAGATGAGGTATTCTAAATATTTACACTATTTATATTGTTCGGACTGTTGTCCTCATCTTTATTGCCATATTCACCTTCAACATCTGTCTCTATTTCTCAGATGAGGCATTGTAACTATTTACACTATTTACATTGTTTGGACCATTGTCCTCATCTTTATTGCCATATTCAACTTCAACATCTGTCTCTATTTCTCAGATGATGTATTGTAACTATTTACACTATTTACATTGTTTGGACCGTTGTCCTCATCTTTATTGCCATATTCAACTTCAACATCTGTCTCTATTACTCAGATGAGGTATTGTAACTATTTACATTATTTACATTGTTTGGACTGTTGTCCTCATCTTTATTGCCATATTCACTTTCAACATCTGTCTCTATTACTCATATGAGGTATTGTACTTATTTACACTATTTACAATGTTCGGACAGTTGTCCTTATCTTTATTGCCATATTCACCTTCAACATCTATGTCTATTTCTGAGATGAGGTATTGTAACTATTTGAACTATTTATATTGTTCAAACTGTTGACCTCATCTTTATTGCCATATTCACATTCAACATTTATCTCTATTTTTTGGATTAGGTATTGTAACTATTTACACTATTTACATTGTTTGGACTGTTGTCCTCATCTTTATTGCCATATTCACCTTCAACATCTGTCTCTATTTCTCAGATGAGGTATTGTAACTATTTACACTATTTACATTGTTTGGAGTGTTGTCCTCATCTTTATCGCCATATTTACCTTCAACATCTGTCACTATTTCTCAGGTATTGTAACTATTTACACTATTTACATTGTTCAGACTGTTGTCCTCATCTTCATTGCAATATTCACAATCTTTTGGACACTGTACACTTTGGTTTCCTGCCGGTGCTATACGTTGGAATTTCAAACTGAACCATTTATTTAGTCTAAGGACACATTGCCCAGTGTATAAAAGTATTGGTTGAGTGATCCCAGAGTGACTTGACCCAACGTGTTTGAAATCGATACCTGGCCACAGTAAAGGGAACAAAAACTTGGAGAATTCAGTTACTAAAGGAAATTAACTGAAACAGAGGTCTCCAGAAAAGGCATGATACATGGAATTAGCGCAATCTACCCCCAGTGGACTATATAAAGGGTTCGGTTTGAATTTCCAACATATATCACCTGAAGAAGTGCAGAGCGTACAATGGACGAAACATCATGAATATGTCATTAAAGATGAGGTCAACAGTCCAAACAATATAAATAGTCAAATAACCTTCTACAAAATTTAAATTTTATTCATAAATGAATAAATGCTGAAAGTTTCATTGAGATATTGTGATACTATTTATTGCCGTGACAAAACGGAAGAAAGTTTTGTTAAAACATAGGAACATGTTATGTGCTGAGAGACATTGGAACAAAAACACATTGGAAGAATTGAGGATTTAATTTACACATAGAGAATGCCTGAAATTGTGCATCAAGGTTTTGAACAATGGAAAATGGCCCAGATTCAGAGGGCAATGATGATTGACATGTGTTCTACACAGCTGAAAATGCAAGTTGTAAAGTGGAAACTTCATTTTCGTAAACAATGAATTTGAGTTGATTTCTCCTGGTTGCAAATTGAGTTGAAATACCAGGACAGGCTAGATGAGCCACCCACACTCACTGAGGAGATTTAGTGAGATAAGAGAGAGTTGGAGAAGGGAACTCCCAAGAATTATGAAGTAAACTGACAACAAAGGGGATTTACTGAAATCCGCTTATGCTCTGTGCCCCACACCAGTTTGAGTGAATGTCCATAAATACAAATGCACAAAGTGAATTAGGCAGAAGAGAGAAAAGAGGCAGAAGAGCTGGAGCCAGAATGAGTAGCAGAGTAGCTGCAGACAAGAGAGCTCATCCCAGCCACTGGTCATGATACACCCCATGTGATTGTCTGCCAAAGAGAACCTCTGAAGTCAATCAATGATAGTATCACTTCCAATGTAGATGCAGGTTGGGCTGATAATTAATTTCACACAAACTCTGATATACACAATTATTGTACATAGGACTGATATAAAAAAATAACAGTATTTACTTTTTGTTCAATTTATTCAAGCTGTTTTTTTTTTCTCTGTACATCTTCACCCTGCTTGGATCAGATCAACATGAAGATACCAGTGATTTGCTCTTGGCAGCCTTATGATCTAAAAATATCACAACGTGGGATAATGTTATAGACAAGCGTATGGTTGCGAGAAAGAAATACAACAACGGCAGAAATAGATTTACGTGATTTATTTCAATAGGAACGTGTGGTTTTGGGACAGCTACCTTGTGGTAGAGTTCATAGGCCGGCTGAAGATCTGGGTTGATAGTAGTTCTCGCTGGTTGGCGTGATGCTACTGCTGCTGGCTGCTGCTGACCGCTCAGCCTGACCGTGACAGGTCTCTTCCCTGGCCTCCTGTTGAATGCGGTGTACTTCTGTGTGACCCCTTTTATGGCATTTTTTTATGGCTTAACAGGCTCAAAAAACGATGCGAGTATAATTAGGATTTATTGGTCAAAAAAATGGAAACACTTTAAAATATTATTTTATTTTTCGACCGGAACTTGTGTGTTGGGAACACGCGTAAACGAAGATAATGGTCATTTTGTGATGGGGCTTTGTCCTGTTCACATCCGGCTCTCGCTCTTGAGTATGTTAGTTTATTTGCCTGTAAATCAACCGAGATATGTCTTATTTTATTTTATAACAATAGCGTAGCTCTTGAACAAAGTGATCTTCATTGATCAGCCATTGTGTTGGAGGTCTTGGACAACTGGGGAGGGTGTTTCACAATTACATTTGTTTGTCTGTATATATTTCTAAGATGAGGTATTATGTACACTATTTACATTATTCGGACTATTGTCGTCATCTTTGTTGCCATATTTATCACAACGTTTCGGCAGTTTTACACTCTGGCCTTCTTCAGGTGGTTGGAATGTCGAACTGAACCTTTTATTTCACTCGCTGGGGTAGACTGTTCTAGTTCCACGTTGGTTAGATTCAGACAGGACCCAAAGAGTTGTGAGTTCAATACCTGGTTAAGGCAGTAGAGAACTTGGAGAGGTGAATTAACAGGAGATAACTGATAACTGACATCCATTAGACATGGCATATGGAACTAGAACAGTCCACCCCAGTGAGTGAAATAGAGGGTTCAGTTTGACATTCCAACCACCTGAAGAAGGCCGGAGCATACAATGGCCAAAATGTTGTGATAAATATTAGCAACAAAGATGAGGACAATAGTCCGAATAATGTAAATAGTGTACATTTGGTTGCCATGTCCAAAAATCAATCCTGAGTAACACATTTGGTTGCTGTGTCCAAAGATTGAACCTGAGGACCACATTTGGTTGCCGTGTCCAAAGATTGAACCTGAGGACCACATTTGGTTGCCATGTCCAAAGATCGAACCTGAGGACCACATTTGGTTGCCATGTCCAAAGATCGAACCTGAGGACCACATTTGGTTGCCGTGACCAAGAATTGATCCTGAGGATTACAATATGACTATTCCCTGATTATTCTTAATGTTTTAAAAAAATTTGATGGTAGCATTTTTATTGTTTTTAAAAAATGTTTGCATGATGTCTGGCAGTGTCTATAATTTTTATGGTAATTTAGTCTGAGAGAAATCAAAGTGAATGTAATGAATTAATACAATTCAATAACTCTTTATCAATTTACCTCTATTTTTTAAGTAGCAATTTTGTTAGCTTAATATTTTTTTTAAATCAGAATAATTAAAAAAGATCTCATTGTGTGCAATTAAATATTTTATGACATCAAACAGAAGTATCATTTAAGTAAGTCGTTTTTAAATTCATTAATTTCCTTTTTGTACTTCTCATATGGTATAAAAAATTAAATTTATCCATTATGTTTCAAAAAATAGCGTATGGAATAAAAAAAAATGTATTCTAAAGTAAACTATCGCTTATAAAGAATTAAATAAACATGAATATCAATTTCTTGATTGTTGTAGTGTTGGTCTTCTGTATTTTATTAAATTTCTGTATTTTTATTTTAGTATTTTATTAAATTTTTTAAATTTTTTTGGTGCGCTTTTTAAAAAACTAGGGATGTCAGTAGAAAACAACTGTTGATGACAGTTCATGGGCTACGGTGAGTAAAAATAAAGATTTTCGCTGTTTTAAGCAAAAAAGTAAGTATAACTTTTGCAAATTCCAGTTAATTAATCTTTAAATTTACTTGGAAACAAAAATAATGCAAATATTAGATTTTAAAACTAAAGAGATTTTAAAATTTGTTGTTTTCTTTCACCTTTCGTCTAGAGAGACCTAGAGACTGTGCCAATGTTTTAATTTAAAAACTTTATTTACATACGTTTATTTATTCATTTATTTATTTTTACAGATTAGCTTTCTTTAGATTATCTTTAAATTTAAAATTAACTTCAAAATAGACTTTTTTTATTTTTTAAATTATTTAAAAATGCGTTTTTCATTTTACTTTTCTGCTAAATTCGTGATGGTATCGAGTTTTTTAGTGTCATTTAGTTGGAAAGATCATGGATGAAAATGTAGTAGAGATAGCTTGGTTCCGGGGATTCCGACCTTACAGCAGCACCTCCCTCAGTGCACTCAAGTAGTAAAGGTTGATCGGTACCAACGTGATTAACGTGAGAGTAGTTACAGGGGTGGGGGTGAGCAATTTGTATCATTGTCACCCCACATTAAAAACAACCTCGTGTTATATACTACCTGTGTAGGAAGGTCGATAGATAGTGATTAGTCAAAGAATTAAATCAGAATGGTCACTTTCCAGAGATGGCCTTGTGCCAATCCTGACTCAGTCTGATATCAACTTTTAACATCTGAGCTTCGTATAACCAGGGGAGATAACTCGCTAACAATCTGCTCTCCTTGAAAATGGCGAACTATTTGCATCTTTTCATGTGTTAAGGGTTTTTTTTTTTTCCTCTTTCTTACGTTTGAAATGTGACTTTTATTATGGCGTTCAACTGGCGATGGCAGCAGAGGCGTGAGTTAGGGCTTAAGCCCGAACTTGGGAGCCTGTCGCAGCTTTACTGTGGCCTTTATTCTAATTTCAAAGCAGTCCAGACTTGGGAACCAGACAAGACTTCAGACCATCCACACCATGGGGGTATCTTTAACTTCGATTTTTCACCAGAGGGGTGAGACAATAATCCTTCTTTTTTTACCCTTTTCTCAATCGATAAATATATTTTTTTGATCATCATTTCTATTCTTTTGTCCTTTTCCAGATTCTCTTAGTTAAGAAGAAATATCTTTCTTACTTGTTTTCAAATGTTCAAGGTTTTGAAAAAGTATTTTTTTCTAAAAGCTCCCATTGTTTGATAAAAATATACGACCAAAAAAGAAAAAAAAGACTTCATTTTTGTCTGAATTCTTATCGCTTATTGTAAACATAAAATTAAGGTTCTTAAAATAACAAGAAAAAGTGTTAATCCTATTTATTTATTTTAATAAAGATTTTTTTTATGTTAATTTTTATCACTTATTCCACGTCGACCAAGAAAAACCAGTTTGTTTACTGATAAAAAAACTAAAAACACCTTTTCAAAATGTCAATCTGTTTTTTAAAAATAAATTATTTCATTGTATTTTTTTACGAATTTGATTTAAAAGAAAAAAAAATTGACTAAAATCATTTTATAATTCATTATTATTTGCTAAATATACTTTTTTAAAGCCTTTGATAAACATCGATAAAAATAAAATATTTTCTAAAAATAAAATTAATTCCTTAAGTTTTCTTTTTCTTTTGCAAACAACGATAATAAATATAAAACGGTTTTTAATGTCTAGAAAAAAAGTAACCCTGAAAAAAACCTCGAAAAAAAACAAAAAAAAACAAACAATTTTCTCGCTTTTATTCAGTACAGGTTACGATAAGGTGGTCGCGTGACCAAAACACATTTCACTTCTTTTTTCCTCCATGATATTTTTTTATATTTACAGATGTTTTATGATTGTTGTTAATGTTAACTTTCCTTCTTTTTTTTTTATTTTAATTAATTTCTATTTATTAAGATTCGTTAAAGTATCTCTATGTCAACGACTTTGAAAATTATGTTCAAAGTTTTAAATAAAACATTTTTCCAATATGAGATTCCGTAAATATATAAATCTATAGAAAAAAAAAAGGTCGCTTGTACTAAAAATATTATTTTACAAATTTTATAAAGCACCCCCCACGCTTTTGTGTAAATTACTGAACGGGAAAAAAATTAGAGCTTTTAATTTTAAATATTAATTAAAATTATTTTTAAACTCTTACCTTAGACAGTATTTTCAATAAGAATTTTTATTAATGACATTTTTTTCACATTTAAACGTCGAGGGACCATACCATTTTTTTTTTCTCTTATTAATTTTCCATGTCGAAATTTACCGTCGAAAATATATAAAAGATTTTAAATAATTCAAATTGTATAACCGTTTTAATTTTCTTTTCATTGTTTAAGTTTTTAGAAGGTCGTTATAAGCATGGGAGAAGAGGTGTGTTTGATCACGTGAGTTAAGAAGGGGAAAAAATAACATTTTTTTTTTTCCGTCATTGCTTATTTTTCAAAGGATCATCATTTTTTTTTTTTTTTCTTATTTATTTTTTTCATATTTCTTAATTTCTATTTTCTACGAAATTAAATGTTTAAAGGAGAAAAATATATTATTTGTTATTCGCAATGTGAAGCGAGGCAAATATGTTTTTTTGTGTGTCAAACTCAAAACTAACATTTTGTTAAACAGGTGGACAACAGAAGTTGTTTAAAAAGTCAGTATTGTGAATTAAATAAACAAATAATTTCCTTTTTTTGAAAGCAATAATAAATAATTTGTATACATGATTTCTGTTTAAAAGGAAAGCATAATCGAGATGAAAGAAAACAAAATAAATTTCGTGTCAGACTTATAGACAAAAAGACAATGTACCTGTGTATGTGTTTTTAAAATAAATAAATTAGAATTAAAAAATATATTTAATTTTAATTTTAATCGTTTTTCGTAATTAATTTAGACCTGATTGTATGTTTTCATTTTTTTAGACAAGGATTTGACAATTTCTGAGTTAAAAATAAAATCATTCCCTACCAGGAAAAAAAATCTTAAAAAAACATGTTGACTTTCTTTTTCTTAATCATAAATTACCTATTAAGAAGGGATTTTAGAAGAGAACTCTGCCCTTAAATTGACATTGCAACTTTGGTGAGCTATTTGAAAATATACACTCGTTCACCCAAGGCAAGACAAATGTAAATTTAACACAAGTTCTTATTTTATTTATTTTTACATTATGTTGTTTTTATATTTATTAACAATTTTACTTTTTAACAGCATTTCAAATCGATACCAACTTTGTCAGTCTTCATAAAGTATGTGTTGCATCTGAGCTAAACATAGGAAGGTTGTAGATTGGTTTAACTAAAATATTGTCTTAAAAGCAGCAAAGATGGTGATAGAAGTAAATATATATATATATATATATATTATATAACAATAATGTTTATCCTTTTACAAGGCCTGGGGACTCTCAAGGTAGAGAGTTACATTATGAGGCAATTTATGCAGATAGGAGTGGAAGGTAATGATAAACTCTAGCCTTGAACAGATTAAGCTTGTAGTGATCAGAGAAACATCCTCTTGGGGGTTGATTCCACATAGCAATGGTTCATGGGAAGAAGCTGTTCGAGCGGAACTTCTTGCTGATGGAATACAGAAATAATTTGGGTGGTTTGCTACAATGTAAGTGGCATGGTGTTTCATTTTATAAAATAAATTCTCTGCATTTATATACACACACATGTACATATATAAGTTGTTGATGGAAAGTTAATCTAGATGTATTGTAAATAAATGTCCTCAAAGATATAAAAAATATATGTCCTAAGAAACATGATTAACTGAGATAAAATAATTTCTTTGGAGACATTTATTTTTTAAAGAACTGAACAACATAATACAGTTATTTACAAACATTTATGACAATAATTTCCCCAACCATGTCGCCAATGAACTTTTTAAGAATTTTGAAAAAAAAAATAGCACAAACAATAACAGTTTTGATATAAACAAAAACCAAAAATCATTAATTTATTCTATTGTAACCAGATGGAACCTAAGTATAAACAAGATAAAAATGGCCATTAAAAATATAATTAGTCAGCAGATATTGCTTAATGATTTTAATAAATGTCAGTGAATAATCATTACTGATAACACAGTACCTCAAAAATCACTTGTGTGTAAAAACAACAAATTTCTGTACCCTTTGGGAGATTGCAACTCCAACAATAATAATGAAAAGAAAACAATGTGAAATTCTTACATTGGTTACACAACCACCACATTCTCTCAGAGGTTAATTTATTACTTATTGAAATTTAGTGTAATTCATATATATATATTGATCAACATATCATAAACAATCAAAATATATCTGTTAACATGCAACAACATTGGCATTGGATCAGATGCCAACTCCCAAGGATAATGGGTACAAGTTAAAATCTTACCAAACACTTTACATTTATTTGTTTCAAATCTACACTGCTTACTAGCAATGAAATGACAATATGGAAGTTGTGATGAAAAATAACTGAAATGAAGATTGAAAAATACAAGTTAAGAATTGGCAATAATTGACAATTCTTTATAGAAGAAATTTGAGTAATATTACAAAAATCAGGTTTTGTCTTTTACTATGATACAAATTTGGTTGATAATGATTGCATGTTTGCCTCCCCTACCTCTAGTGATCTGAAACTCCTGAAGAAAACTATTTTGGAATACCTGAGACAATTTGTGATTTATTTAATTACTTTTATTTATTTATTTTAACCCAGTGTGAACCAAACACCCTCCACAAGTCAATCATGTTCCTATTGGCCATGATAGTTGTCTTAGGTATTTACACAGACCCATATCCATATCCATATTTACACAGACCCATATCCATATCCATATTTACACAGACCCATATCCATATTTACACAGACCCATATCCATATCCATATTTACACAGACCCATATCCATATCCATATTTACACAGACCCATATCCATATCCATATTTACCCATATCCATATTTACCCATATCCATATCCATATTTACCCATATCCATATCCATATTTACACAGACCCATATCCATATTTACACAGACCCATATCCATATTTACACAGACCCATATCCATATTTACACAGACCCATATCCTTTTCCAGTTGTGAAGCAGTCCCATTTGGCTGATTTGGATATTGTAATATTAATCATTTCCTTATAAAGAAACACTCAACATTCATTGGCTGAGGAGCCAGTGCTATCATCAGTTGATATTACTGAAATTTTTTTTCTCTTAAAACAGTTCCACTGTTATCGCTCTTTCCAGTATTGAGGAGCAGATTCCTAACCTTTTGTTTAAAGTGCTGTGGAATGTCAGCATCTTGATTATGTCATTATTTTCTCTTTGAGTTATATATTCTATCCATTTTTGTTGTTGAAAAATCTTCAAGTGATGTGGTTTTTGCTATTTGGTACAATTCTTTGATTCTATGATACCACTATATGAAGTTTGAAGAAGGTTGGTCCTTGCTAAGAGCTACAGACCTCATTTACTCAAAGCCATTTTTACAAACATTTTTTTTTTTTTTTCAAGATCATTCTTATCCCAACTATGAGTATCTGTGTCATTGACACAGCTGCCATTCTCAATAAACTGAACTTGGAGGGGGAAGCAGGAACACTCTTTTCTATTAGATTTATTTGGGATGTGATATGGAATGCTTAAATGATCAGTTCCCATTTCTTCACATTTGTGCTTGTATATATGCAGTGTATAATCTAAGAAAATATTAAATACAGTATGGTGCAGATAAATCCAGAATTTTTACATGGCAACAGTGCCATGACATCACATAATAGCAAGGTTACTACCATTAGAAAGTACTGCCCCCCAATAGCAGTCTAGCCATTGATGCACAAGGTACTTAGTAATAGATATGTCTTCAGAATATGATCGTCAAGCTGATGCTGTAGAGAGCTTTGTGCCAGCCAAGAAACCAATGAAATCATTGAATGATTTAAATACCCTAAAACCATGGTCTATGACCTTTAAAAGGCATATGGGGCCTCAGACAACAAGGACAATTTCAGGCC